TAGGTACCAGGCAAGGAACTCAGGACCTTGTGCTTGCCAGGCAGGCCCAATGAGCTCTCTCCCCAGCCCTCTCATTTGCATTTTGTATAGTTTGAATTGCCTTGAGGACAAATGGATTTGACACTTCTGTTGTGATTCCCAGAGGGAGTGTATCTCTATCCACGTGGGGCAGGCAGGTGTCCAGATCGGCAATGCCTGCTGGGAATTGTACTGCCTTGAACATGGAATCCAGCCCGATGGTCAGATGCCTAGTGACAAAACCATCGGCGGCGGGGATGACTCGTTCAACACGTTCTTCAGCGAGACTGGGGCTGGCAAGCACGTGCCCAGAGCGGTGTTTGTGGACCTGGAGCCCACGGTGGTAGGTAGGTGCTCAGCCCCGGATGGAGGCTTCCCGGGAGGTTGGGAGAGCCCTGGAAAAGCCCCACGTGGTGGGCTCCTTGACTCCCCCCTGCAAGAAGGACAGGGTATAAAAGCCTGTGTCATGACACCGTTGGGTGAGAAGCTCTGAGGTTCCTGATTGAAGGTTCCTAATTCTGGGGCTCAGGCTGCCATCTTCAGAAAGCTTGACCTGCAGGGAAAAGCTGCTTTGCCAGGATGATGAGCTGTGCAGAGATTCCCTCCTGCCTGCCACTGGTGGTTTCTGCATAGGGGTCGGTTCCCTCCTTAATGCTGTGGAGATTCTCATGCTAGTGCACAAGGGTGTAGACCTGATCTTGGGCATGAAAACAAAAATGTTTGGTTCTTCATGATTAGAAGCCCAAAGTAGTTCCAAGAGATGGAAAAGGTGAGGGTGGGAGGATCTGAAATTTGATCCCAGCTTGGGGATTCTAACCATTTAGTGAAATCCAGTCTCAGAGAAAACCTGCTAGTGATGTAGCTCAGTGTGAAGACCCTATGTTCAGTACTACTCAGCAGACACAGAAAGAGACAAGAGAAGGGAGAGAAAGAGGAAGAGGGAGAAGAGGAAAGGATGAAAGAGGAAGAGGGAGAAGACATTTTAGTGCTTCCAAGAGATACAGAATGTCACCTTTCAGCCTGCAAGACTCAAACCACATAGCTGCAAAATCACACAGTCACAGGGACCTGGTGATTGGATGGGGCTTTTAGTTTTTGTGTTGTGTTGCAATACTGGCGATTGAAACCAGGGCCTTTCAGTGAGTTACATCCCTATCCCTTTTGAAAATTTTTGAGACAGGGTCTCGCTAAATTGGAACAAGGCCAGGCTGGACTTGTCTGTGATCCTCCTGGCTCAGCAGGCCAGAGTGCTTGGATTACAGAGTGCAGTGCGTGACTTCTAAATTATTTTCTTTGATGCAGCTTAGGTAGGGAAGAGGTAACTGCCTGTAGAATCACCTGTGCTTTTTTCCTGTAAACATGAAGTGGTCCTGCTGGCACTGGTACTGTGAGCTGAGGTTACCTCTTGGAGCCATGAGTCGCATTTGTGCTTTGCAGAGACTTTTGGGAGGACCGGGTTGCTCTGTGCTCAGGCCGGCCTTGAACTCACCATAGCCCAGGTTGGCCTGGAACTCTCAGTGATCCTCTTGCCTTCCACTCCCAAGTGCTGGGATCACAGATGTGTGCTGGTGTTAGAGGTGTGTGCTGCTGTTACAGCTTGCAGAGACAC